CCCATATATATATCTAAAAGCGGTCTAAAAAGCTAATCTTTGGTTTTCTTATTTCTTTCATTTTTCCTCATAATGGCAATAAGGTTCAAATCACGAATAGGAAAGCGTTTAAAAATTTTTTTCAAGCATAAAATCAAAATTAAATAAATTTTGATCATTATAATCGCTTTACTACTCTTATCACAAGAAGTTTTCTTGTGATAAGATCACTTCATTACTGAAGCATTTATAAGAAAAAGCGTTTATTTTAATCAAAATTGTTGCATAAAATATAAGAGATTCCATAAACCAAACATAAATAATAGTAGTTCTCCTCAGATCAAATTTTTAAAAATGTAGCACTTGGGTTCATTATCGGTAAAACATATCTTTTTTTTTTGACAACGTGCTATTTTTGAAAGATATAATAATACCAACATATTCATTGCAAAATGTCAATTATGATGGATATTAAACCATTTTTCTCTTCCTTATATTGCTCAAAATAATCAAAATAGTTATATTAGTATCTTATTACAAACAAGAAAAAGAAAATCAAATGTGAAAGATAAATTATTATCGATTGATTACAAGTAATGCAAAGTTGTGAAAAAGCATGAGGGAGATCTTCATTATTGTCTGATTTATCGTGTATTGTTGGCATTTATTTTTCACTAAAATTATCAACCAGTCAATCATTCTATATAATAAAGCTTCTAACATTTTGATAAGAAAATCACTGAAGTAGTATGGCAAAAAAGTTGAATTTAATAGAGAAAATTTGCGAAGAGGTAGAATATCAGAATGAGATATCAAAGGAAGAAGGAAAATGATATAGAAAGGAAAAGGAATCTATTTTGTGATTTAATTAGATCAACTTTTGGCTTGTAAAGAAATAAAACTAAATAGGGGAGGATAAGCTTACAATGGTGATGAAGAGGTAAATATAGGTAGGTATAATTAAAATATATGAAGATATATGGTTAAATAAATACAGAGATAAATAAATGGATAAAGTGATAGAAAGAAGGATAGGTATCTATCCCATGTATTTATCTAAATATCGATGGTGATATTGATATACCTAACTAAAGAAGTAAACTAGGTTAGAATTTATTTGTAAAGAAGGGATGCCTTTTTTGTGTCCTCTTAAAGCGATTGATACATAAAGATGGAAAGAGAGGCGGAGAATATAAATTACTCCCAAAAGTGAAATAGAGATTTATTACTCGGGCAATAAATTATATTGTTGCAGGAAGGTGACGGAGCATTCGGTACCAAATGAAGTTTTGTTTGTCAAACGTTATTGCTACAACAATAACAGCTACCACAACATTTTCTTCAATAATTACTCGAATAATTACATGCAACGCAGTTCATCATCATCATTATTATCAACAACAACAGCAGCATTATCATTGTGTATCAACGTCACATTCATCATTTATCATCTTATCATCCCTTATCACCACTATGCTTCTTATTTTTCCTGATCAAATTTATGCTGCAACAGCAACAATCATCGATAATCGATGTTAGCTTTTTTTCCTTTATTTTCATATTTTTAAAAGTAAGCGGTAGTATTTTTTGCATTATTTAATTTATATTCACTAATTTACTTTTCATTATTTTAATGCCATTATTTTTTTTCTGAATAATTCATTGGGATGTGAGATACTGATTGATATCTGTAATTATTAAAGTTTTCAATCGCATATATTCGTGATAAGAGTCTGACCTTACAAGCATAGTATTAATTCTCATTGATGCTATAATAGTTGCAGTAAAGATTATTACCACTCATATTTTTCATTGAAATTCTATAAACTTTTATGTAATTTCAAACTTTATTTTTCATGACTGAAAAAAGTTGGCAAGGAAGTTATCAGAATAGCTTAATGACTGTAAAAAATGAATAACTGCTACCACAAAAATTTTATCGACAAAATTTTTATATTATGGTGTTATTAGAAGCATGGTAGTTTCAGAGCAGCTTATTTTTTGTTGCTGTCGAATACAGTGTGCAATCCCACACATAAAATCATTTAGTCAAATTTGAAAGGTACAAGCTTGAATTACATCAGCTGAAACCAGTTATTTTTCATATTTACTTCAAGTACTTGTAATTTGGAAACTGTTTTGTCTAAAATTTTTGGGTTCTAAATTCAATCTTCACAGTAATATGGTTTCATAAAGTTAGTTTTCTTTTTTTCAAATCAATAAATTACATTGATGACAACATTCATATAGTCGATCTTCCTTAGGCCACTTCTACTTGTTCTGCACAAAAACGAGTTTGTTTATTTACTGGTATATTCAGATAGTATTTACTGCGCTTAAATGATTAATGCATTACTTGAATCCTAAAATGCTTTCGTTTTAGATATTTGCTTGCGCACGATCATGAACTCGCTAATTTTCTATAAAATAATTAACTCTTTTCTTAAATTTTTCCTTTTAATCGTATTTCGAATTGAAAAATTAAAAGCTATATTTGAGAGTTGAATAAGGAGGAAAACTAACGAGTTGTAGTGATTTAAAAGTCTCAAGAGGTTAGTCTTTTCATAGCACGAGACTGCAATCGACACCGATTATCAGCCATTTTATACTAAATATCGAGCACCAATTTATCCATTGACTCTTTTCATTTCTCAAAAGTTGACGTAAAATTCAACGATATTATTTCAGTGCTAATGCATTAAGAGATGTACTGGGGTAAATAGATTTATTGTTTTTCACAACGATTACCTATCTATCTGTAAAAAATAATTTTTTATTATTTATTGAGAAATTTCATTCAAGTTTTCCTTTAAGGCTATTTCGAGATTTAATTTATCACTCATTAAAATTTTAATTTCAGATAATTTTGACAGAAAGTACTACTGAACAATTTTGTCAGCTTATCTTGTGAAATACTAACATATTTGTTTTGCTTTGAAAACAGCTGAAAAACTATTTTTTATGCGACAGTCATTTGCTACACAAATCATTCATTTTATCCTTGTCATGAACAGAAAACAGAATTAATTGCTAAAAAATAAGCATGAGTTATTGTTATGTTTAAATTTTTTATATTGCATCTGCGTAAAACTGATGAATTTATTGCTATCAAGTAGAAAATGATAATAATTATATTCAAATTAAAATATGTAAAAAATTTTAATGCTCTATTTTCCTCTGCATTCTTGAAACATAATTGTAAATTATACAATTTTTATCATAAATTCGTCTTAAAATTTTAAACAATTTTAGCATGAATAATTATACTACATATAGAAACATCTGAGCTATGAAAGTGAGACTCATCATTTGTAGAAAATATCGGTAAAATTTTTAATAATTTAAATAGAAAAAGGTAGTGTGTCATTTGCATTTAAACTTCAGTATCGATAGAGCAAACGTTGAAAGGAATGAAGTGTGTGAAGTTTTATTTGAAAGTGTTACTCTCTTTGAATTTTTTACCATTTAATGAAAATCACCTGACAGAGTTGAGATATATTTTTCGTCTGATGTTGACAGAACAACTCACTAACTGATTGTGCGATGTATTGCTGACAGTCAACCAGTTACTGAAATTTTTTCAAAATTTATTTCAATACAGCTAGGAAACTTGAATTTTTTTTTTCTAAAGCACATTTGCAACAATCTCTTTGACAGTCTTACATCGCATAAAATTACGATATTTTGATCAAATATTCCTTAGATATATTATGATCATTAGTAATTGATAGGAAAATGGTACCAACCAGTTCATTCATATCTATTAGTATGATCGCTCATATGTTCAGAAAATTCATCAGTTTTTATCATCATCATCCTCTGGAATTCTTAAATTAATTTTGACAGTTCACAAAAATTGTTCGATGAAAAACAACGTAAAAAAAGACAATATTAGAAGATATAAATGTTAAAACTAAGAACAAAAAAAAAACGGAAAATATTTCAAATTTTTATCATGTTTTTTTATGAACTTATTTTAAATAATGTCATGTAATCAATTCTTAATTACTTAAAATGAAAAATCACTAAAAAAGTGCGAGACATGCTGAGAGTTTATGTACGTGTCATAGGTCATGATATTGAAATTTTAGTGGTACATTTATTTGAAGTAAATGTATAAGAGAATACACAATGTAAAAGGAATATAGAAGGTGGCTTTAATTTCGAATGTGAAAGTTGTAAAAGATTGCTTTACTTTATATTGTCACAAAATCACATTCATTTTCTTTTTTGATATGCTTCTTCATTCTCATTCACTTACTGATCAAACGATTAACTTTTATCATTTGCTGACTTTTCTTTGTCCCTTGTATGGTCTGTAATGTGAGTGTGAGTGTGTCTGCATAGTGTATGAGTGTATGTGTGTGCGCGTGACGAGGAGTAATCCAAAAGGAAAATTTTCACATGTCCGTTAGAATTGTCATCTTTGAGCAGGCCTCACGCAGCTTTTAAATCAAACTAACAGAAGTCATAGACGAATTTCGAGTGAAAATTCTCGGAAAAGCAAATGATTTTTGCACAAAAATTCAACTCTCTTTCTCACACTATGTTGTGCCATCTGTCTTCTAATAAGACTATGAAATGTGAATATTAGAATGCAAATAATAATAATAAGAATAATATTAACAATAATAAAAATAATATTAATAGATACTTTTTAAAGTGTGTACAATGTCGAAAACTTTTAATCTATTGTAATGGAAGAAATTTCATTTATTGAACATATAGTTATCAAATAAAACAGTAAGAATAGGAAAATATTTTAAACTCTAATAGATCTGAACTGAAAACTTTCTCCGAAAAAAAAAATTCACTCCTAATTAATATTTTGCTATCATAATTAATTCATGAAATTTTTTTGCAGTGAGCAAATGTGAGTGAAGATAGGATTTATAATTTTTGGATCCCTACCGTATTTTACTCTTGGTGATGTAGAAAAGCTAAAAATTCTCATAATGCTACATTAACAGAAAGCCTGTAAGTTATTCTTTTTGAATGTTTAATTTTCAGTTCCACCGGAAATGTTAGTCCCACCACAAACAGAATTTCGTGTTCCTATTGGAACTAAACAATTCAGATTGATTTGCCCAGTGAAAGAGAAAAACGATGACCCTATAATGATTCAGTGGAAGAAGAATGATGAACCAGTAAGTATATCTAGAGTGTTATTTTATTTTGATTTCTTTAATTGTCGACCTTTTTTGTTTCTTTTGTACAAGTATTAGTGTTTTAAATAATTTTTAAAAATTTTCTGTCAATAATCTAAAAATTTTTTCTCTATTTTGACCTTCATCTCAGAAGTCTGCTCTCTCTCATCTTTGCTTCCATAATTAATTTTTAAAACATGAAGTGACATTAAGGTATTTTTCTGAAATTCAAAATTGAAAGTGGCATAAAATTCACACTCATATCAAAATTTTAAAATATAAATTTTTTAAAATTTTCTTAGATTTTATCTTCAGTCATATTTCATATTCTAATAATATTTAGAAGAGCAAAATCCATCCTTTTTCAGTCAACAATGCAGAAAAAGTTAGTAAAGAAACAAAATAGTTTCTTGAATTACATGAGTAGTTTCATGGGTGACTCATGGGTGTGTGATCTTGAAATGGCGATGACACGCTTTTGAATGAAAGAAAGCAAAAATATAATCCTTATCACATTTTCTAAGAGAAAAAAATGTATGCAAGGGGTTTTTGCGCTCATAGCAAAAGTGATCAAACCAAATATAAAATATTATTTGCTACAAGTACGATATGATAGTGAAAAAAGACAAAAATATCAAGTGAGCTTAGTAATTGTTTTTTAACGTTTCAATCATTCATGTGCGTGATATTTTTTCTAAAAAGTTTCTCTGAAGTTATTACTGAGAATTAACATGAAACAATAACAAATTAATCGTGTATTTTTTTTTGTCTAAATTTTATACTCTTGATTTTGCTCAAAAATTAATTTTGATTAAAATGCTAGGATAAAATTGTTGTGAGGTACAAATCATTTGAAAATACGAATTGCCATTTAGTGATTACTATGATCAAAAGTGGCATTGGTTTAAAAAATTGGTAGAAAATAATATGGTTTGAAATAATATCAGTTTTCTAGGAATGTAGAAGAAGTTTTGAATGGCACGAATTAATATTTTTTTTAATGTGTGAAAAATATATAATTTTTAATATAGTTCTAGAAATGACAGTATAAATTGAAAATATTCCTAACTCAAAAAGTGTTATTCAAAATGAAATAATCAAGAATATAGAGAAGAGCAAAACACATACTATATTTTATATGATCGAAATTAGTGACATTTACTATTCAGTGCATGAATTCATCACAAACACTTTTTGATGAAGATCCTTTTCAATTTTTGTTTCCATTCATCTGAGCAATAAGCTTGGATCTATTTCTTTCAGATCTAAATTTTAGGACCTTCGTATTTTATTTTTATTTCTTTAATTTTCGACCTTTTTTGCTTTATTCATTCAAATCCGAGTATTTAAAATGTGCTTGTCAGATTGGATTGGACTTTAACAATCGTTTCAAGTTAGCCAGACTAGATCGTGAGTTGAAAATTCGAAATCCACAATTATATGACAGTGGAATATATCAGTGTCAAGCGATTAATGGATTTGGGCATCGAGAACAAAATTTCACTATTACTTTTTATGATTCGACTGTTGAAGATGATCATAATACTGACAGCACAATCATACTTACTACTAATGGTAACTTATTACGACTACATTGATTAGTAGTGATTTTAATAATAAATTTGTAACTTTGAGTTTAGAAAAGTGAATTGCACAACAGCGTCCATTTATCATTTTTTTTAACTACTCAGCAGTTCAGTTTTTTTAAACAAGTTAGTCGATTATGGATATTACAAAAATCATGAGTACAAGAAGTGCTGGACAGTAACTAAAGTCTGAAGATAAATAAAAAATTTTGTATTATTGTAGTTGTAAACAACAAAGTTTGTAGTTTTACTTTTTCAGAATATAATTAATTATAAGACATTTTTTGATGAAACGATTTTATTTACTTCTAGAACATTATGCTCATTTATAAGAAGTTGGAACAGATGAAATTATGTTCTGATGCGTTTAATTTTATGTAAAGTTTAAAAATGCAACTAGCGATAAACTCCAAAAATTTAATTTTTTTTAAATATTTTCACTCAAATGGTCAATGATTTATCAAGCATTTATGCTTGAATAGATAGTGCTACTTACATTATAATTGTATTATTAAAGTAACAAAAAATTATTGCTGCTTAGCATATATGTCAAGTCAAAGTAATAATAATAATTACTTATAATTGTAGATTATTTATTATACTAAAATTGAGAATCTAATTATCATAAAAAACGGAGTAATCAACTGATGTAATTTATTCAGACTATGTTTGTCAGCAAACTGTTGATGAGTTATAGCTTCTCCACCAGTCTGGAAAAATGAAACAGAAATACGAGCTTGGATGCTAAATCCTGTACGAATAACCGTTGGTGGAACTTTGTTATTAAGATGTCCTGCGAAAGGAAATCCGTTACCAAATATTACTTGGTTAAAAGATGGCAAAGAGCTCGAACGAGGTATTTAATGAACATTTTGGAATCAAACTATAAAAAGAATTAAAAAATATGAAAAATCATAGTATATGATTTCAAAAAACTAATTATTTAAATGCACTCATAAATTTCTTTATAAAGATTCAAGGAAATGAATGGAATATTCGATAAATTTTTTCAATAAAATAAAAATGTAAAAAATTGCAGAAGTTACTAACCATTATTCGTCAGCAATACTTTACTTAAATGATGTGCAACCAACCGAAAGTGGTAAGTATGTATGCAAGCTAAATAACGAGTATGGCAGCATTGAAGCAACATTTCACGTTTACGTGGAAAATTTCTTCGAAGGATTAGATGGTGAAAGTTGGTCTATTGATCAGACCAAAGCTCAACTATACCCGGTCATTGATGAACCTTTTAATAATACTGTTCGAGTTGGTCGTACAGCTCAGTTTCACTGTAAAGTAAAGAATCAACAGCAACCATTAATTAAGGTTTTTTGATTACTTTTTTGTTAACTGAAAAAATGTTCTTTATCACAGGTCAAAGTAACATTATAACAGTTATCCAACAAGTAATATACATAATTAGTATATTTATTAATCTTGGTCGTAATGGAGTTTTCAGTACTAATATGATATTAATGTGCTTTAAATAACTTTAAGAAAATTGCGTTGAAATACAGTTTTAGTTAGATTTTAGGACGACGATACATACAAGTGTAAAGTAATTGAAGTATTCAAATGACAGTATTTAAACATTTTTTTTCTCTTCGCCATACCAAAATTGTTGTTGCTTACATATTTTAAATTTAGTTCGTAAATAGCAAAATCTCATAAATGAAATAAACTATGCTCTCAATTTATTTATATTATGTTAAAATTAGAGGAAAAAGATTACTATGGATTAAAACGATTTGCTCACAATTAGCAGGCAGTGTTGAAATCTTAAATATTAATATTATTTAATAATATTCTTAATAAAAGTTTGCAGTGGTTGAAACGAGTGGAAGATCCTAATGCGATCCTTCGAATAAATGCAAATGCCACGTTAATCCATGCAAATAACATGCATCTTTTACTACTAGAAAAGCCAGAAACAACAACAGAGTTATCAGATGGAATAACATTAAATAGGCTTATCATACCTAATGTAAGACATGATCATTCTGGAACATATCTTTGTGTCGTAACTAATGCCCATGGTGACATTGCTTACCGATCTGTATACCTACATGTTATCGCAAGTATGCCTGAATTTTTCAGAATTTCGAATTTAAATTTAAAAACTAATTTACTAAACATTTCAACTAATTCTCCAATATTTTTTGTTTAATAATATTAATGCTTGATTATTGAAAATGAATTACATTTATTTCATTCAAAATACCAAAAATGATTATTTATTTATTTTTTATAGCGTTGATTGTAAAACAACTCTTATGCTATTGAAAGTTTTAACTAATATTTCTTTTTATTTCAGAATCAGATAATCAGTTATTAAATTTCTATTTTTATGGTGGAATACTGTTATTAGTAATTTTGTTTATTATGATTACTTACGCTATTTATTTTTTGCGAAAAAATTACCAAGCGGCTAAAAATGATGAACGAGGTATAACAAGCACTCGATGTTCTTTTTCCCTAAGACCTCCACCTCCAAATCTTCCTCCTCCGAAGGCACCTGCATTACATTCAGAGCATCGACAGCTCATGTCAAGTAGTCCTCCATGTGATCGATATACGGTAAATTTAGCAGCACCGACGACTACACATTATCTCCAGTTTGCTATACCTGATAAAAACGTACAAAAGTATGTTAATTATTTCGCTTCAACAGAAAACGCCATTTCAAAAATTAAAATTGATTTCGAATTATGCTTTCAGTAAAATTTGCTTGTGTCATATTAATTCTTTCATTGATAAAAAAATTATGCGTAGAAAGGGGAAAATAAAGTTATTGCTTTTCAATATCACATTAATTTGTTATATTTACTTCTGTTCGAAATAATTTTATCATATTTTTGTATGTTACGATAAACTACTGAAAACTAAGGGTAAATTTAATTAAACAGCATATTTTAAATGTAAAAGACAAAGTATTGAAATAAAATTTTTTCATGAAAGAAAATAATAATTTCAGAATAGTATCAGAAACATCTACACGTCCCACTTCTATTCGGCGTACAAATGGTAGTGATGGAAAGTATCGAATTAGAGATGATTACGTGGGAACAGCAAACTGGTTGAATAATAAAATGGATAGTACTGAAGCTGATTTGGATCAAAATTTTATAGCTGGTACCTCTATGTATGGCCACAATCCACCACCATTTTCTTATGTTTCAACAGATAATTTTGATAGGTACCAACAAAAACCTTTCCTTATTGCTAGTAGTGTGCAAAAAAAATGATTTTACTTCATAATTTAAAATTGTATATACAAATAAGTTTGCTAAATACAATGTATTTATTTTTTATGCGGCATGATTTTTATTTTTTTGACTAAATGTAATTTAATTTGTCATAAATAATAGTAATCTTGATTTTTTTTATTCACATCATTATATTGCTAATTTTTTGCAAAAAATAATATTTCTTTGAGAATTAATCATTTTTCAATTACTAATTGGAAATTGAAAAAATGTGAGTAAAATTATATTTTGCTCACTGTGCTTTTATGATTGATTTTGAAGCAAGTATTATTCAAATCTTCTCTTTTTATTGATTTCAGTAAATTTGTTATGATGCATAGAAATTTGACACAAAGATTAAAAAGCTAATTTTGAAAATCTTTAATTTATGAAGTAATTTGAAAAATAACAATTGTTTTGTTTGTTGCAACACAAAACAAAGTTTTATTCGAATCTTTCTTTTATAGAAATGCCTAAAATAAAAGAAATCAACACCGTATCCTCCTATTTCCATTTCTCTGCATGATTTTCATAAATATCTCTAGACTGAACTCATTAGAAAGCATCCTCTAGTTTAGGCTATAGCAGCGTGTTTCTCTTCTTATTTCATGCCTGAATAATAATAAAGTTACTTTGCTTGCAAGATATCGTTAATTCTTGATTAAATCCGTTGTTACTTAAGCTTTTCTTGATCAAAATATAGCATTCTTTAATTTATGTTCCCTACGAAAATTTTTTTCACATAGTGATAAGGAAAGTTTTTTGTTTTTAGTAAAATGAGCTTAATTTTATTTTTTATGTTTTGAATTTGTGATTATAATTATGAATGTAATTAAATATTTGATTGACTATAATCAATGATTTGTTTTGATCAAATTCATATTAGATATGTGAATAATTAGGATGCAGTGAATAGTGAAAGAATCTTAGTTTAAATGTTTTTATCATTTTTGTTTTTTTACTTCTCAAATGTGCTTATTTTAAAATTTACTTTTTCAAAATTTCAACTAATCTTTATGAAATTTGGAATAAAAAAGTCTCAGTTTTTACCAAATAAAGACTTACAACTGACCATTTAAACGATTAATCATTTTAGCAGTATGGTTCTCCATAAATGTTAAATTTTTTCTTGTTATTATTCTGTGGTCTCAAAATCCAAAATTCTTCTTTAGACGAAACTTTTAAAGCATTAAGCTTACGCTCAATTTGTATCTTGTAAATTATGTTCGTGTGAAATAATGGTTTTTTTTTGGTATTATGAGTTATTTTATGTATTTATTTGTTCTATATATTTATTAAATGCAGTTATTATGTGGGTTTATCTCATGTGATATTTAAACTTTTACTTTTTGTAAATTTTACTTGCTTTTGCATTCTCAGTCCATTCATAATTTGCAACACTTTGGTGAAATTTGATTTATTAATCAGTAAGCTAGTAATTATTCAGTTTTTTGATTCAAATTAAAATTTCAGCAAGCAAAGTATTTATGCTAAGTTTGTTGAATCATAAAACTTCTAAAACTTTCAATAGCAAAAGTTGGATTAAAAAAATTTTCGTCTTTAGTTCCGTTTTTAGCATAGTGAAAAATAAACAGCTGAACTGCTTATTTATAGAATTGTTGCCTAGCTTCCAGCATTTCATGCTGAAGCATACAAATTGTTCAAGTTTTGATTGAAAGCTCGTCAGTATTAAATAGATGCACATACATACATTCAGTTTGAAAAACTTTCATAGACAACTTTCAAAATTTTTTGAAATGAAAGCAATAGTAGCTTATCGATTGTTTGTATGTAAAAATGTGATCATTTTGATTGTAAAGCTTAATTTATGTCATTATCTTTTGCGATTTATTTAAAATGCAGTATTCACAAGTAACGCTGTTTTACATTTTCTTTTTCACCTTTTAATATAATATATTGCATTTTTTGCTTCTGTCTTTCATTAACTATGAATAGAAAAAATAAAAAAAAAACAAAGTATTGCTAAAAGAAACAGGCAAATATTGTGGTAAAATTAATTCTTCCTTGTATCTAAAACTAATATCATGCGTGTAGCTTCTTGATACCTTCAAAAAATAAATCAGTCCAAAATTCTACGGTTAGTCAAAATAGTTTTTGGCTCTAATATACGTATGTATAAGTGTTACTGTGTTTAATTAAGTGCTCAAACAGAAAAAAACAAAATAAATTTCAAATTTGGCTAGGACTTATGTGCATTTGCTGTAATGAAAGGAATTATGAACAAGTAAATCGTAATGAAAGTATCAAATGTAAAAAATGTGCTAAAATAGAAGGAAACATAAATGATCGCAAATTTTAATAAAATATTTGATACTTTCTTGATAAACAAAATAGTAAGTTGAATCAAATAGACTTTGTAAGCTATTTTCAAATCTAATAACTATACGAATTACTCAGCCGTGTAAAACATGCTCAAAGTTAAGATGAGTAAATTAATTGTATCAACTAATTAATGAGAAGAGATTTTTTTTTTCATAATACTATAAATTCAAATTCATAAGAGCAGTTCAAGATTTATTCAGTTTCCAGATCAATGAAAAATACAATCTTGTGAATTTAACGAATTTATAAAATTTTGCCATCAGTTGAAACTTCCGTTTATCATTTTAATTTTCTATAACTCAGTAAGAAAGCATCAAGAGTAAAAATCAAATAATATTAAATAAAATAATAATAATAGTAAAGATTACGTTTATGAGCATTTTTTTACAATAGTCTAAAAATGTCTCATTCACAATGAAGGATGATTGGAATCATCATTGAATAATGGACTTTCAATTCATCACTCTAATTTCCTAGTCTATTATGAAAAATGCTTAGCTTCTAATGGATTATAACAGTTGCTACTTTCACTGAGAATCTCTCGGAAATTCTAATTTTATTTTCATTCAGTTCAAGTATTAACAAACTTTTAAATTGAATGAAACAATATTACCTCTCAATTTATTCCAAGTTTCACTCCGAAGTGTTACATAGCATTGAAATATGACCATCTCGTTGTTTTAGACAGGAAATTTTTATTACTAGTCTTCACTGGAAGCTTTTAATCACATTTTGAACTGTAGCCAATAAAAGCAGTACACTAAGAAAAAATATATCTATTTTCCTTCTATAATTTTGATAATTCAAGCATAATAGAACAAATTTACTAATATTGTTTGTTGAAATTGTGTTCTCTGATGACTCTTTAAAAGCGTTCTAGTTAAAAAACAAAAAGTTCCCAAGTTTTATCTTTTGCATGAAAAAAAATAAAAAATAGTGAGTTAAGCAATTTGCAGCATTATTAATGATAAAAATTGACACATAAACAAATGCAAAATAACTATTTTTATTTTCTAAAGTTAGAATTATGTCATTTATTTGAAAATTTTAGGCTTAAATAATTCACGATTTTCATGGTTCATATTTTTTGGGTTTCATATCCAATTTTTTTAATATACATTTATGAAAAATTCAAAGAAAAAGTACAATGATCAATGCTATTTATGATTAATTTGAATTATAGTGATGCTCACTGTCCTGTTGAATACTCAGATTTCATATGTATGTTGTAGTATATCTACATTTATGTACATCTTTCTATATACCTACAGATATGGCTAAGGTAAGGGATTTGTAAAATTACTTAAAAACCAATAAAAAGACTTGGTTTTTATTCCAATGTTAATTTATTCACAAATTGGTAACTAAATTGCTTCCTTTTTCCATTACTGCAACTCATGCTTTTATTTTAATTTTTTACTCTTATGTTTTGCATTAAAAATAATAATGATTTTGATATGTTCAACTAGTTATCTTAAAAATAATACGAGACAGCCATCAATGATCAGATGTTACAACGCTATTTTTTTTTGAAGGTAGCGAAGCTTTTTCCAATTCATAAAGTTTGCCTCCGTTTATCAATTAACTTCATGTGTAGAAATTAGTTTCAGAAATTTGAAAAACCAAAGAATTTAAAAGAAATCACATTTCATTGATTTTTTTCTCGTTGTTTCTACAACTGACTTATTATATGCAAAACAGTTTTTATGTGTTGCGATTTAAAAGAATAAAAACATTATGAGTTTTCAAATATCGAAGATAGCTCTTCACTGATGAGAGATAGTGAAATTTCTAGAATTCATTTCAATATTTCTAAAGCTTTCAAAAATTTTTTTCCTAATTTTAGTTGCCGACAAAAAATCAAAAAATGATGCTGCTGGTTGCTCTGCCTTTCTCAGCTTTTGCATTTGCAACTGCTTACAAATGAGCCATATGAACCTTTTTTACCAAACTAATTATCGGACAGATGACCTTTTATAAATAATCTTTTTTTTTTTTTTTTTTT